ATTCATTCTTTGTGCAGAAAAGGACTTGCATGCATAATAATAGGAGTTTTGGAATTAATTGAATATTTTATGGAAGTTGAGGGACTGAACTGCAAGAAGAAAGAGGTTTCTTTGGGACCTAAATGAATGAATCTTAAGCTTTGAGATCTCAATGCTTATCATACAAAACTTGAAGGATCAGATCTGCAGTTTTACCATTGAAAAAATTGCAAAAAAGACCAAAAACCCGACACGGGTGTGGTGTCGACACATAATCGGGGTGTCGACACTATGCGTTACGCGTTCAGAATCACATTTTTTGTTTCTTGTTTTGTGTGGACACGTAATTTAAGGTGTCGACGCTAAGCGTGCAGCATCCAAACTCCCAATTTCCTATTTTGTTCTGAGTCCTACTTCTCTTCTAATAAGGTTTCTTAAACTCTATAAATACCCATTCAAAAAATCAGTTTGGGGGCTTTTGGAGAGGAGACCAAGAGAGACGGCTACAAGGAATTCAACAACGAAAGAGGATCAAGGCTTGAGATTTTATATCATTAAACTGGTTTTGTTTGTCCTAAAATTTTATTTTATGATGTTGGATACTCGTATATTCATCATGAAATTGTTGATTCTCTTTTCTTTAATTATGAACTGATTTGCCATCTAAGGTTACGATTTAGCCTGATCAATTTAATATAAAGTTTTATGATTTTTATACTTTTAAGGTTTATTATTTTATGTAGAGTATATATTATTGTTCTTAATGCTTTTTAATGATTGGCCACCATTAAAATTGATTTGGAGAGCATAATTGAGACCGAGAAGAGATTTTATGCAATAGTTTCTAGTAATATATACAATGAATTGAACGAAAGCCAGATATGGACCAATGTGATCTGTGTAGTATTAGTGATAAGTGGACTTAATTTTCCATGTAAATTAGGGAATTTCACATAATATAATGCACCTTTATCTATTTAAATTCACATAAAGATATAGTGGGTTAATAGGTGAAGACAGGTTTGGTATAACTTGAGAAAGTATATCAGATAGGATAGGAAATTTCGCTGTCACATAAATAATAATTACCTTGGAAGTATATTAATCTAAATTCTATATTAATTGATTATGATGAAATCGGATGCCTTAGAATTTTAATTCTTGGTGTTACTTAAAGTCAATTTAGTTTTTCGTTAATTAGTTTAATTATTTAGTTTAGTCAAATCATTTAATTTCAATTGTTCAAATAAAATTAGAATTAATTAATTTTGATACTTAGTTAGGCTACAGTCTTTGTGAGACGATACTCTATTTTCATCATTATATTACTTGAACTGACTAGTACACTTGTTAGAGTGAAATTAGCTCATCAAGTTTTTGTTGCCGTTGCCGGGAACTGTATTGATTCTAATTAATATCAAGCAGATTAATTTTAGTTTTAATTTGGATTTTTTTTTTATTATTTAGCAGGTGTGCAAGTTAGTGCATGATTCGTTTTGAAAATACAGAACTTGCACCTTTTGATCCTGAGATTGAGCAAACTTTTCATCAATTGAAAAACCAAAGGACAGCACTCATTGTTAAGCCAATTGACATCATGGCTGAAGATCCAGTAGCAAATCAAGCCATTCGAACATTGAAGGAATATGCTTCACCTTCAATTGAAGGAACTATTTCAAGCATAAGGAGACCAGCTATCCAAGCAAATAATTTTGAAATTAAGCCAGCAACAATTCAGATGATTCAACAATCTGTGCAATTTTGTGGGTTGCCAAGTGATGATCCTAATGCTCATATTGCTAATTTTTTAGAGATTTGTGACACTTTTAAATATAATGGAGTTTCTGATGATGCTATTAAACTAAGGCTTTTTCCATTTTCTCTACGAGACAAGGCAAAGAATTGGTTAAATTCTTTACTTGTTGGGTCGATCACCACATGGGATATGATGGCTTAAAAATTTTTAAGTAAGCTTTTCCCTCCTGCTAAAATTGCTAAGATGCGTAACGATATTGCCACTTTTTTGGAGCTGGATATGGAGTCATTATATGAGGCATGGAGAGATACAAAGAGCTACTCAGGAAGTGTCCACATCATGGTCTACCTATATGGTTACAGGTACACACTTTTTATAATGGTTTATTTCCTAATAATCGTACCATGATTGATGCAGCTGCCGAAGGATTATTAATGAGTAAAAATGCTGATGAGGGTTATAACCTCATAGAGGAGATGGCTTCAAATAGTTATCAATGGGGTTCGAAAAGATCACACATTAGGAAAAATGCTGGAATTCATGGTGTTGATGCCTTTACTGCTTTGACAGCACAAATTGAGGTTTTAAATCAAAAGTTAAGTAGGATGAATGTCTCAACTATACAAGCCACAAGCATTAATTGTGACTTGTGTGGGGGAGCACATCCTAGTTTTGAATGTTTAGAAGGTAATTCTTTTATTTCTTCATCTGAACATGCTAATTTTGTTTGTTTTAATAAGCAGCAAAATAATCCATACTCCAACACTTACAATCCTGGTTGGAAAAATCATCCAAATTTTTCATGGAGCAACAATCAAAATCTAGTAAAGCAACCTCCAATATTTCAGCAACCACTTGAAAAAAAAAATCAAATTTGGAGGACTTGCTAAAAAAGTTCATTGTTGTTAGTGAATCAAGGTTTCAAAATCAAGAGGCAGCAACCAAGAGCTTAGAAGCAGCAGTAGAGAACCAAGGTGCATCAATTCGAAATTTAGAAGTTCAGTTGGGTCAATTGGCAAATGTAATTTTTGGAAGAAGTCAAGGTGCTCTACCTAGCAACACAGAGATAAATCCCAAAGAACATGTAAAAGCTATAAATTTGAGGAGTGGGAAACAAATTGGTGAGGAAGAAGACAAAGAGAAAAAATCAGAAGAGGAAGAGAAAGAAAATGAAATTCAAGAGCCACCCAAACCCAAAGAAGTCAAGCCTTATGTGCCTCCAATTCCTTTTCCTCAAAGATTGAAGCAGCATAAACTAGATAAGCAATTTGCTAAATTTCTTGAAGTTTTTAAGAAGTTACATATTAACATTCCTTTTGCAGATGCTTTAGCTCAAATGCCTAGTTATGCCAAGTTCTTGAAGGAGATATTATCCAACGAGAGGAAACTGGAAGAACATGAGACTGTGAATCTTACTGAAGAATGTTCAGCAATTCTTCAAAATAAGCTTCCTCCAAAATTAAAAGATCCAGGGAGTTTTACAATTCCTTGCACTATTGGAGACTGTCAATTTGGGAAAGCTTTATGTGATTTGGGAGCTAGTATTAATTTGATGCCTTTTTCTGTTTTCAGGAAGTTGGGATTAGGAGAACCAAAGGCAACCATAGTATCTCTTCAACTTGCTAATCGATCCATCAAATATCCAAGGGGTATAATTGAAGATATACTAGTAAAGGTGGACAAATTTATTTTTCCAGCAGATTTTATAGTTCTAGATATGGAGGAAGACTTTGAGGTACCTCTTATCTTATGTCGCCTTTTTCTAGCAACTGGTAGGACATTAATTGATGTTCAGCAAGGAAAATTAATGCTTAGAGTAGGAGAGGAAAAAGTTACTTTTAATGTTTTTGAGTCTATGAAATATCCCTCCAGTTCTAATTCATGTTTTAGAATAGATGTTATTGATATGGCTGTTGAAGAAATACTACAGGTAGAAAATTTTGAAGATCCACTTGAGGCATGCATTATCCATTCCAAGGACATCAATGATGAGAATGAAAGCAGCAGAAAGTGTGCACTTCAATTGGCAGCCCTTCCACAATATTCCATCTCAAGTGTGCCAAAAATAGAAGTTCTCAACATCAAAGCATCTCAATTTAAACCATCACTTGAAAAAGCTCCTAAACTTGAACTCAAGCCTCTCCCTCCACATTTAAAGTATGCTTACTTAGAAAATTGTTCTTTACTGGTAATTATCTCTTCTTTTTTGACAGGTTTGATGGAAGAAAAACTCCTTCGAATTTTAAGAGAGCACAAACGAGCAATTGGGTGGACTATAGCTGATATCAAGGGAATTAGCCCTTCAATTTGCATGCACAAAATTCTCATGGAGGAAAACTTTAGGCCTACTATTCAATCACAAAGGTGTTTGAATCCACATATGCAAGAGGTAGTGAAAGCTGAGGTAATTAAATTACTTGATGTAGGAATTATTTATCCTATTTTTGATAGCTCATGGGTAAGTCCAGTTCAAGTAGTTCCAAAAAAGGGAGGTATGACAGTGGTTGAGAATGAGCATAATGAATTAATTCCTACTAGAACAGTGACTGGTTGGCGTGTGTGCATAAATTATAGAAAATTAAATGATGCCACTAGAAAATATCACTTTCCTTTACCTTTTATTGATCAAATATTAGAAAGACTTGTTGGACATGCTTTTGATTGTTTTCTAGATGGTTATTCAGGATATAATCAAATTCCTATTGCACCGGAAGATCAAGAGAAAACCACTTTCACTTGCCCATATGGTACTTTTGCTTATAGGAGGATGCCTTTTGGTTTGTGTAATGCACCTGCCACTTTTCAAAGATGTGTGATGGCTATATTTCATGATATGGTAGAAAAGTTCATTGAAATTTTCATGGATGATTTTTCTGTATTTGGTGATTCTTTTGATGCATGTTTGAAAATTTTGGAATTGGTTTTGCAAAGATGTGAGGAAACTAATCTTGTCTTGAATTGGGAAAAGTGTCATTTTATGGTGCAGGAAGGTATAGTATTGGGACATAAAGCGTCTTCTAGAGGAATCGAAGTTGACCAAGCAAAGGTGGAGGTGATTGAAAAAGTACCCCCACCTACTTCAGTTAAGGCTGTAAGAAGTTTCCTTGGACATGCAGGGTTTTACAGAAGATTCATCAAGGATTTTTCTAAAATCACAAAACCCCTTTCTAACCTTTTAGCTAAGGATGTTCCTTTTAATTTTGATGATGAATGCTTGCAGGCCTTTAACAACTTGAAGGAAAAGCTCATAACTGCACCCATCATGGCAGCACCTGATTGGAGTTTACCCTTTGAGCTTATGTGTGATGCAAGTGATAATGCAATAGGAACTGTTTTGGGACAAAGAAAGAACAAAGTTTTTCAAGCCATATATTATGCTAGCCGCACCCTTTTAGAAGCTCAATTGACTTATACAACCACAGAAAAGGAGTTTTTTGCAGTAGTATTTGCTTTTGATAAATTTCGTTCTTATTTAATTGCTAATAAAGTTGTTGTTTATACTGACCATTCAGTTCTTAAATATTTGCTCGCCAAGAAAGATGCAAAGCCTAGGTTGATTAGATGGATCCTCCTCCTTCAAGAAATTGACATAGAGATAAAGGACAAAAAAGGCATTGAGAATTTAGTTGCCGATCATTTATCAAGAATTGAGAGTCCTAACCAAGAAAGGGATGAATTTTCAATCAATGAAGAATTTCCAGATGAGAATCAAGGTTTTAAAAATCGGACCGAATCGGTCGGTTGAATCGGTTAGACCGACACCCGGTGTAAAAAACGGGTCGGTTGAATATTTCAAACCATTTAAGCTATTGAACCACTTAAAACCGCTCAGACCATCCAAACCAGTGAGAACCAGTAACCCGTCAAACCAACTGGGTCAACTCTTGGGACAAAATTTTCACAAATTTGTCTCCACTGGGTTTCGAACACCAAGTCTCATGAAGGGTAAGCAAGCCATTTGCAACTTGGCCACCCGTGTCTTGTGAGGTAAGTTGCAAAGAATATCTTTTAAAGAATACTGTGAAGATTTTAAAGGAAAAATGAGTCTGGTGAGGTTCGAACACCAGCCTTCTTGGATGCTCAACTTAGATTCGTGCCACTTGATCTGATTCGAGTTTGTTGTCAAAGCATGCGTTAAGATATATTTATGGTAGAATTACATAAATTGAACAACTTTGTCACTTATGGGATTTGAACTGTGATTCTCTTCAATAAAAATAAAAGTCCTAACCATCAGCACCACAAGTAATTCTTTGATATAAGTTGTATTATATTTAATTTAATATATATTATCAAAATTTAATCAACTCGATTTTTTCACCGATTAAACTAATTGAACCATTAAAACCATGAACCGGAGGTCAAAATGGTTTGACCTTCGGTTTGGTTTTGAAAACATTGGGTGAAATCTATTCCTTGGTATGTTGATTTTGCAAACTATTTGGCAAGTAACATCCATCCTCATGATCTATCTTATCAACAGAAGAAAAAATTATTTTCTGATGTTAAACATTATTTTTGGGAGGAGCCTTTCTTGTATAAATTGTGTGCAAATCAAATCATTAGAAGGTGTGTTCCAGAAGAGGAAGTAGTAAGTATACTCCATCATTGTCACAACCGAGAGGCTGGAGGTCACTTAGGAGCTTCCAAAACTGCAGCCAAAGTTCTACAATCAAGTTTTTATTGGCCACATATTTTTAGAGATGCATATGCTTTTGTTGCCTCATGTGATAAATGTCAAAGAAGTGGCAATATTTCCAGAAAAAATGAGATGCCTTTAAACAACTTGCTTGTTTGTGAATTATTTGATGTTTGGGGTATTGATTTTATGGGGCCTTTTCCACGTTCTTTTACAAACCAATATATTTTGGTTGCTATGGATTATGTTTCTAAGTGGGTGGAGGCTATAGCTTTACCAACTAATGATGCTAGGGTAGTTGTTAAGTTCTTGAAGAAAATTTTTTTTTACTAGATTTGGCATCCCTAGAGCAATCATTAGTGATGGGGGTAAACATTTTTGTAATAAACAATTTGATGCACTTTTGAGTAAATATGGAGTCACACATAAAGTTGCAACCCCATACCACCCACAAACTAGTGGCCAAGTAGAGGTTTCAAATAGGGAATTGAAGAAAATCCTTGAAAAAACAATGAGCACATCTAAGAAAGATTGGTCATTGAAACTTGATGATGCACTTTGGGCATATAGAATAGCTTTTAAAACTCTTATTGGTATGTCTCCATATAGGTTAGTTTTTGGAAAGGCATGTCATTTACCTGTAGAACTTGAACATAAAGCATATTGGGCTGTGAAATTTTTGAATTTTGATATGCAAGCTGCAGGAGAGAAAAGGATATTGCAATTGAATGAATTGGATGAATTCCGTCATGAAGCATATGAGAATTCAAAGATCTACAAAGAACGCACCAAGAAGTGGCATGACAACCACATTTTGAGACGTGAATTTGTAGTTGGTCAAAAAGTTTTACTCTATAATTCTCGTCTTAAATTGTTTCCAGGTAAATTGAGATCCAAGTGGTCAGGTCTTTTCATTGTGAAAAAGGTTTTCCCTTATGGAGTGGTAGAAATTTCTCATGAAACCAAAGGCAGTTTTAAAGTAAATGGTCATCGTTTGAAGCCTTATATTGATGGTTGTGGATTCAACACAAAACCACCTCACATTGCATGATCCAGAATGATCCTTTAAAACAGTCAAGCTAATGACTATAAATTAAGCACTTCTTGGGAGGCAACCCAAGCATTATTTTTTTTTCCATTTTATTTTTCTTTAGTTTCTTTTTATTATTACTGATTTATTTTACTTTTTCTAGTTTCAGATTAGTGCACAGTTTGAGGAAAATTCAAGAGTCAAGCTCAACTTTGTATATTCAAGTGCATAAAATCTGGGAAGTTTCCTTTCTCCTTTACTTATTCTTCTAACATTGAGGACAATGCTTGATTTAAGTTTGGGGGAGGGAGATATATTTTGATGCTCATACTTGCATTAGATCATATTCATGTTGCTTGCATACTAATTTTTTTTCTTTTCTTTTCTGTTTTTCTTCTCTTTACAAAACAGGTTTTTTTAGGAATTTGATCATTTAGTAGCAAAGATTTAAATATTCAGGGGTTAGAAATTCATGAGTGCCATATTAGAAAAATACAAAATCTGAAAAATAACACCATTGTGATGAAGTTTAAGTTCATGAGTATTGTACTTCAATTGAGCACAAGTTTGTAGTGAGAAGTTTAGAAGGAAGGCTTAGTAGCATCTAAAAAGCACATTTAAAAAAAAAAAAAAAGAAAGAGGAAAGGAAGCCAATACAAAAGAGTTATTACATTTTACTCCAATGTTTTTAGTTGCTTAGTAACTGGGGGTTAGGCATGAGACCCATGTTAGCTTTCACGTCAAACGGTGACTTGAAATATGAGTATGTAAAGCACTCTAAGTTTATGACTTGTTAAGTAACCGGGTGCTTTCATCACAAATGTTAGTATTTGCGTCAAAAGGCAAGTGATAGCTTTGGGAAAAGTATTTGTATGGCTTAAAAAAAGAAAAAGAAAAAAAGAGTCAAATGTTTCGTGGCCTTTGTTATTTGAGTAAGTATGTTCTTAGGGGTGTCTTTTCACCTAATGCCCTAAAGCCAACTGGTTTGGGAGTCATTAACAGAAAACTTGTTACATGGGTAACTTAGAAAGCCTAAGGAAACTTAACTCCAAAAAAAAGAAAAGAAAAATAATAATGTGCTAAAGTGTGAAGGTCTAAATTCGAAAACTTCTCATTATGAATTTTCACACACACACTAAGTGCTCATGAGCTAAATCTTTTGATAAGTGGTGTGAAGAATAGGATGGAGTATTTGAAGTTAAGGGAGTATTTGAAACTCTTGAATATTTGAGACTTTGTATCTTTGGAAGTTTACAAAATGACCATTTGGCTCTTGGGCAAAGTTGTGATGATAATTCAATGGCCTCTCCAGTGGAAGATAATCATAGAACATCCAAGGAAGCATTTGCAACACAACTGCAGATGGTTGATGGTGATTGTGAGGATAATGAGTACATTGATCAGGTATCAATTTTGCAAAGGATGAACTCCAAGGAGTTAAATTCATTTCAATTGGGGAAACAACTGTCTTGCAAATGGACAACAGAAGCAGGACCACGAATTGGCTGTGTAAGGGATTATCCCTCGAAGCTCCAGTCCCGGGCCTTGGAGCAAGTGAACTTGTCTCCCAGAAGTGCAAGCCACTTAAAACCATACTACTCTCCCCGCTTTCCTAGCTACTTGAGTCCTAAGGTATCTTCTCCATTATGTTGTGGTGAGGAAATGACAGGCTCACCTATGCTCAAGAAAGGGAGTTTATTGCAAAGAAGCATTCCTTACATAACACAGTCCTCCCCATTGTTGAAAGAAGCACTGGTAGGTGCAATCAATGGTGTATCATAACTAACAACACATTCCATATTAGTTCATTCTTTTCTGTGAATAGAAAAGATGATACAGGAATTCTTTTCATTCTTTCCAACCAGGATCATGTGTACGCCTGTTTTTCGCCTTTGTTCATTTTGTACCATATTAGATGAGATATGTAGGATTATGGGTTTAAATGCTCTTTGATACAAAAGGAAATGTTCATTTTTCCACAGGTAGCATATGATCTTATTACTCATCAAATGTATTCATAAAAACAGAAATCAATGAAAGGCAATGATATTTTCTGCATTCTTGGATAATTCTTTTCATGGTTAGCTAATTTTCATCATCACCAGAGAAAAAAAAAATCTCTCATCTGTTATTTTCCAGATACTTCTGTTCTTACTGTGTGTAATCTAGGAACTCAACATGCTAGAATTTCTTTTAAGTAATAATTCCATGGTCGCACGTACAATTTAAACAAAAATGACAACAAATCATATGCAACCAAAATATTACGTGTCTCAAAAAATGGCACTTTTTTTTTATGATAAATTGAATTTTCACATTAATGAATATAATTTTCTTCTCATTTTTTGGCTAGAATATAATTTTCTTCTCTGTTTCTCACTATATGGAAAGCAAGGAATTTACTAAAAGGAATTTATTAATATTCCATATCAGCTACTGAAGTAGCACCATAAGTACTTATTCATGAAGACTAAAATTCCACTCTATACTTTACATTGGACTTGCACTAAACTTGACTAGTAATCACAACAGAGAAAAGTAGGAGAAAAAAAAATAAACAATGAAGTGATAGCATAGGGGATAGATATCATATTCACTGCTTCCTCTTATTCAATCTTTCACACCCTTCCCTTTGCATCTTGGCTACCAGATTCGGAATGTCTTCATAAACCATTCGCATTTTCTTGTAAAAACAATGTTTCCAATGACAACACCAATGAGGAATCCACATCCATAACCTAGCAACACTAATTTCCAATCAAATTTAGCTAACAATCCAGAGTCTTCATTTCCTTTGGAGGTTGAGGATGGTGGAGGCAAATTCTCGGAGTTATAGTAATCACATTTTCTTGACAGTGGCATTCCGCACAGTCTTGAATTTCCATCGAAAGAGCTGTTTTCAAATGTATCAAACTGTTGGCCTTTCGGGATAGGACCTGTCAAATGGTTGTGAGACACATTGAAGACTTCAAGAAAATTGAGCCACGTCAGCTGTGTAGGAATTCTTCCTGTCAACTTGTTCTGAGAAAGGTCAAGTGCTTCAAGATTTGCAAGATATCCCAAGGTTGTTGGGATTGGACCAACAAGGATGTTATTGGAAAGATTGAGCGATTGAAGTCGCTTTAAGTTCCCAACTACTTCTGGAATCTCTCCATCAAATTTGTTGCAAGAAAGATCCATGGCACTAAAAACCTCCAAGATCTTTGGATATTCCCTTTTCTGTCCTTTGGTTGTTATTGTCATTGAGTAAGGAAATACAAAAGGAACGATGAGAAGGTTGTACACGAAATGGCGCTTATATGCTTGCAAATATGTTGCGTTCTCCCCATCAAGATTAGCCATGGCATTCCATCTTGCAAAGAAGTCTATTGGCAAAGTGCCAACAAATCCGTTGTTTGAGAGGTCAATGATGCGGAGCTTAGGAAACAAGAAATTTGTCTCTGGTACTCTGATTGAAATTGTGCCATAGAACCTATTTGAACGCAAAATAAGAATCCTCAATTCAAGAAGAGCTCCCAACCAGGAAGGGAAAGTATCTTTGATCTTGTTTTTTCCAAAATCAAGAAACTCCAACATTTTGCAGTTGCCTAGTGATCTTGGTAACCTCCCATGCAAATTATTCTGTCCCATTTTAATTTCTTTGAGTTTGTTTCCAGTTTCCCATGTTTCAGGAATAGGACCATGGAGGTTGTTTCCTTCCAAGTTTAAAACCAACATGGAGCTAAGGTTGCCAAAACATTGCAGCATCATTCCGCTCAAATTATTGTGAGACAAATCGAGCACTTGAAGAGAAGTCATGTTGCAGAATTGATGTGGAATTTCTCCACTGAACATATTCCCGGAAACTAAGTAGAAAAGGATGGAGAGCGGTGGGATTGGTAAAGAACCTTTGAGAAAGTTAAAACTAAGGTCTAGATAAAAAAGACTAGTAGAAGGAAAAACAAGAAAGGATTCTTCAAAACTTGTGAAATTGTTGTGAGAAAGCTCTAAACCCCACAAATTTGCACTCATATTCAATATCCAACTAGGTATCTGGCCATGGATGTTGTTGGAGCCGAGGCTGAGGGCATTCAATTCACTTTGGTTATGCAAAAAGTCTGGAAACTCTCTTAGATTACAACAGGCAAGACCAAGTTCTTTAAACTTTGGAATTGTTCTATTGGTGGGAGTTTTGATTACTAATGAGAAATTATTAAAGCCCAATTGCAATGATTTAAGGGATTTGAGTTCAAGAAATGTGTCAAACTCAACAATACCACTTAAGTTATTGAAACCAACAAGGAGTGTTTCAAGGTTCTTGAGTCTGGAAATTGAGCTTGGAAGAGATCCTTGTAACATATTAGACCCGAGATCCAATTGTCTTAAATCTGTTAGGTTTGAAATCCAAGATGGAAAATGGCCAAAAATATGATTATAAGAAAGGTCTATCTTTATGAGATGGGTCAAGCTAGCCAAAGAAGAAGGGACCTCACTAAAAGTGAATTGATTTAATCCAAGATTTATTTGAGTTAGTTGAGTGAGGTTTGAGAAGAAAGGGGCATTTTCTCCCTTGAAAGAATTATTTGGGAGGTTCAATACATGGAGCTTGGTGAGATTACCAATTGAAGGTGGTACCCAACCTGAGAGGTTACAACTACTGACATCTAAATATTCCAAAGAGCTAAGCATTCCTATTGAGATAGGTAACTCACCAGAAAAGATTGTGTTTCCAACATCGAGTGCCCTAAGCTGACTGTGAGAGTGAAATTCAGGAAAACTACCACTAAGTTCCCAATTGTTCTCCAAATCAAGGACTTGAAGTTTAGGTAGTTGAAAAATGTCTATGGGAAACTTTCC